GTGTATTTCGTTGATCTGCCTGTTCTGCACTCCACTCTGTCTCTGGTGAATTCTCTCACCCTCCACATCTCTGGCCTGTATCCCAGTTCTGTATGCACAAATAAAATAAAATCTTTAAAAAAAAAAAAAAAGTTTGGTAGAAGTTACTTATGAAACTGTCTGACTTTAGTTTTTTGGCAGAGTTTTGATTATTGTTTCAGTTTCCTTGTTGTGATTGGTTTACCAGGTTTTCTTCTTCTCTACTCAATCTTGGGTGGTTGTATAATTGCAGGAATTTGTCCGACTCTTCTATATTGTTGAAATTATTATCATACAAATGTTCATAATACCCTCTTATCCTTTGAATTTCTGCTATCAGAAGTTGTAACTTCTCCCCTTTCATTTCTGATCTTACTTATTTGTGTTTTCTGTCTGCTTAGTGAGCCTAGCTAGAGGTTTGTCTCATTTAAAAAAAAGCAACTTTTGATTTCATTATTCTTTTGAACTGTCTTTTTGATTTCTGTTCCATTTATTTTCTGCTCCAAATTTTATTATTTCCTTCTACTGACTTTTGTTTTTGCTTGTTCTTTTCTCCTCTTTCCTTAAATTTAGTGTTATTTGAGCTTTTTTATTTTTATATGGGCCTGCATTTCTATATACTTCCCTCTTAGTACTGCTTTTGCTGTGTATCATAATTGCTAGAAGACTCTCTTGAGGCCTTTTTAAATCTCTCCTTTGATTTTTCATTAACCACATATACATTTAATAGTGTATTGTTCAGTTTCCACATATTGCAAATTTCCCCTGCTTCTGTTTTGTGGCTGTTTTCTATCAATAGCATGATACTTTTATGGAAAAAGAAGATTCTTGATATGACTTTAATCTTCATGAATTTTTTGTTACTTGTGATCAAATGTCTTGTCAATCCTGTGGGAATATCCTTTGTGTACTTGAAAAGAATGCATATTCATCATCTTGCAGTGCAGTGCCCTATAAATGTCTGTTAAGTCCATGTTGCCTAATTATTTAGGGCTATCATTCTTTATTTATTTTC